AACCTTCAAAATCTAACTGTGCAGTTTTTGTTCCTACCACGCGATACACGGCCTTCTTTCACAGTGGGCGTGCCCATCTGTGTCGGGCTCGTGCTCTGGATGTTGTGACTACGATCGCCTTGTGAAAGGGAGGAATTAATTCGGAATTACACCCGAATTAATTTCACAACCACACAAAAAAAAATTTCTTTGGCCTGAGAATCAGACCATGTTTATTATATGTTTTTGGNGTCGCTGAATCCGAATCCGAGGTCCATTAAACCCTATCGGGTCGGGATTCCGCCATACCCTCAAAAAACACCATAATCTGAGCTCGAAACCTATATAATCTTTTGATTCAAGCCATAAACACAAAAACTAATTAGATAAACCTCATAATCCCATAACCCTATATCCCAATAGCTCCATAAGCCTATCACGGTGATTAAAATGTCAATCATTCATGACCAAAGATTTCCTAAATTTATGGAATTAAATAAAATAATTCTATGACTTCGAATTTCGAACAGACATAACAGAAATTGTCGTAATTCGCATGACAATCGTGCAAATTGGAAACATTTCGTCGAGTTCATCTTCTTGTATCATTAAAATCTACATTAGCCAGGTTGCCAACTGATGCAGAACTGCAATCGCTTCATGGCGACGACTGCGGTCCCGCTTTCTCAACCTGACCAGCCGCCAATTTCGGGTTTCCGATACCCGAAAGTTGGGTTATTCTTGTGCCTGCCATAACGGCATGAAACCCGTAATCCAGGGACTCAGCCGGATAGTGGTACAACTCCGTTGCCCGCCGTCACCGCGTGGAGGTGCCCTGGACGCAGGTACAGGAAGAATAACAGCGTGAGAAATTTACCCGCAATCGTCGTCGTCATAAACCATAGCTTCAACCATTGACGATGATATATGCAACATGTATTTGTTATGAAAATATTAGCATAATTGTTTATTCAAATAGGACTGTTTATATTATAATAAAAATCAAAGAAAAGACATGAGTAAGCTTCGTATAAGCTTGTGTTAAATTGACACGTACAGACGGTTCGGGTTCGATAATGTATCTTACCGATAGCATTTCTTTATAATCGTTACAATCGGCGGAATGTTTAACTGGAGTGAGATCAAGATTATTGAGCTGGATTAATAGAGATTCTCGAGTCCGGAGCGTGTTTACAAGAAATCATTTCTTGTCAAAATACACTGACACTAGTTAGTTACAAGTCGTCGGTCGGATCCGTCTACGCAAGAGATCGTAAAATGAGAGGGTCTATTGTTCGGAGGATTCTACTTTAACATAGGCGTTGTTCATTTGACTATGAGTGGCAAATCGAGATAATCAATTAAGAGTAGATAACTATTATTGAATAATTGATCGGATAAATAATTACGATCGTTATTACAGTACACAGAATTGTAACGTTACGTTGTGTATCGAGAATTAGAATTGGTTGTAAGAAGTGATGATCCTGACTGCTGCTCATGGCAAAATGCAAAATATGTATGTGTCTGTATTAGTGAGACTTACAATGTACTCGGTGATATATTTTGGGTGATAGCGGTGCTGGTAACTGGCAACGTCGCTCGGTGTTTGGTCGTAGGTGTTTCGCTTGAATTCGCGCTGCTCGCAGATGATCGGAAGTAAAGTCGGCGGCGCCCTCAGGAGGTTTGACGAATGAGAAGGTGCGAAATTTACTTGATTTAACGGAGTGATCGATTGATTATTAGTCACTGACTCTACCGCGCAAAGCTGTTCTCTGACGAATCTCAACTGTATTGAAGATCGAACTGTGAATTTTTTCACTATAGAAATACCTTTTAACCTCACTATACCTTTTAATATAGATAAAAAAAAGATAGACTGTGAACTAATGCAGCCAAAGTATGGAAAAAGAACAGACCTAATGTATGGAAGCCTGATTCAGGTTACCGATCAAACTGATGAACTCGATTAAAGACACCAATCCCGGAAAAAATCTTAAGGTGATAGTGAGATTTGAACTCGAGACTTCTATACTCTAGACCTCGCAGTCTTTGCACTTAGTCCGTGAAACCACTTGTTCCTTTCTATAAAATGTTATTATTTTTATCTATTTATTCTCAAACTATCCTACATACTTTATTTATTATTTAAATTATTATTTTATTAAAAATAGTGCAAAGCAATGTACCTGTACCAAAAGAATATAAAAATAGGTTTTTATTATTATTAAATATATTATAATTTAAAATACTTTTTCACAACGCAAATAAATTTTTGTTAACATATACTGATTATTATAGTCAATTCTTAATATATATATATCAAATGAAATATATGACAATATGTATACACATTTATGTGTATCAATGTTATTACATAATAATAATAATTATATAGTAAAAATGTTATACATAAATAAAGTGTTTTTTGTTGATATAATACATTTTAAAAACAAAGCGTTTATGTTTCAAACAAAAATTGTTTACAGGAATCAAATAAGGCCGATACGAGCCATTCGCAGGATGTTTGTGCGGAAACTATGCGTGTACAAATATATATATATATAAATGTAACGAATTTTTACTTGTAAATTTTTACAAGTATTTTTTGAATTGAAATCTCAATTCTTAA